CAGACGGGCATACGCAGAGGCAGATGGACAGATGGACAGTCCTACGGACAGATGGACGGTCAGACGGACAAACGGACGGTTAGGCAGACAGACGGGCGGTCAAATGGATAGACGGTCAGATGGTCAGAATGGTTAGTCGGACAGACCGATAGATGGAGAGACAGTCGTTTTGCCATCAATCGCGTTTTCGGTATTAAGGATCCAGAAAAGATGGGTTCTCGCAACGCCAAGTGTTAGAGAAAGTAATTTACTATATTTAGGAATATAAAAGATGAAGTTTTTCTTTACCAGAGCCCCACAATAAGTCTTTCCATCGACAATTCGCCGTTTCTCGGCGGGCGATTACAATATTTTTTCTTCTTGCATTTTCGCAATTTTCAAAACATCTGGGATTGGGGATGTGACAATTCTCTTAAGAGTCCTTTCCGTTAGTTCAGGACAAATATGAATAAAAAATGTATATTTTTGAGAAAATTTTGGAAATGTTCTTGAAGCTTCATATAACATACCCTCAAAAATCAAAATATCCGATTGAAACTCCCAAAGCTTCGAGTTTGTTCAGATTGATGGTGGAGTTTCAATTTCTTAGAATTCGTGGAATCGTGGAATATCAATATCAATATCAATATCAAGAAAAATATTGTGTACTCTAAAAGCGTGACTATGATAAATCATTTGTGGGTTTTTCCTTTTAATTATCTACCTCTTTTCAGTGCAAATGAGTTTAGGGCTACGTCCTACCCTTCTTTTCATTTTTTTCGATAGTATTGAACATATTTTGGTAGGAATTTGCTAAATTTGGGGGGCTTCATGAACTGATAATGTAGATCTAATTGACATATTTACCTTTCATTGTACGAAACATTTTCCAGTTAGTTACCCTAGAACTATTTTTGTATAAGAATCAATATAATATTTAACCTTTCGTTAGTATTCTTTCATCTCTGAAAATAACTATCGGTCGTTGAAAAACATTATTAGTGTATTTAGGGCCAGTATAATGCAGTACCTCAAAATGTAATCAACATCTGACGGATACTTCCATTCCTTCCCTTGCAAAATTCAGGTTTGAATCTTGTGTTGTCACATGAAAACTCATTTTGAAATTGTTATAATTTCTTCTAAAATGATACTTTCTGCGTTTTATAGTCATAATAATAGTAGTCAGTGGCCAAATTATTACGCTCAAGGTGAATTTTCATTGTTTTTATAATTTTACTGTTTAATTGATTCAGTATTTAACAACGATGTTTATTTTCAGGTATTTTGTAACTTAATTGACGTTCATAACGCTGCCCAACATAATATTCAAACTCATCCGTGACCCATCTAATGTGATTAGAAGACATGCTGTTGCTGATTAAAGTAAGTGTTAAATTTTCTTTCTCTTCGGAATTATTATTCATCAAGTTTATTTCATGAAGTCATACTCCAGAAGTGGATTTCTGAGAACTATGATGTTACTCTACAACTTACGTTACTATTAGATCTTGTACTTGCAAGAATAAACTCAACCTTGAAAAATTTCGTCCAGTAGCCATTATAATAGGTTTGAATCTCATACCACGAGAAAATAATGAAGCCAAATTAATTCGACATTGTAAGAACATACAATGATAAATTTCAAATTTGGAAGGAGTTTTGGAGCCATATAGCTCAAAATACCAATATCATAATGTAGGCAACTTTTATCTTAGAATCCAAAAGAGTATGAAAATGTCAGAAAAAATAACTTCACTAATAAGTTATCATGAAATACGTCACATTGCACTGGGGAACCATAGGAAACCACAAAAACATTAAATATTAAAAATGGTAAATTAAAGGTGTTGTCTGATATAAAAAAAATTATTTTACAAAATAAATTTTAAATACCAAACAACACCTGTAATTCACCATATTTAATTATTTAAAGGTATCTAACTTACCAGAGATCTAATTAACACATTAAACATGATGTTCAAAGAAGCTGGAGAGCATTCATCAAACAAATTGTGTGAAGAACGTTCATAGAAACGGACCTCAAACGTCGACAATCCTTGAGAAATCCAAACTCGCACCTGAAATTATGAAGACGAAAAAAAGGAAAATTTTGCCCAAAAATGAGAATTGAACTCTAGATTTCTCTGAAAACTCTCCGATTTTAATCTAATATAGGAAGTGTTAGAAGAATTTTTAAAAATATCGAATGATATATTTATTAAAAATTCATTAGTCACTTATCAAAAATTCATTAGAGCTTTACAAAACCCTTCCACATTTTCAAGAAAGACAATAAAATGCATAGAAACTATGCCAAAACGCAACAAGGCTGTCACGAATCTCATGGGAGGATTTACAAAATAATAAAGAATTGATTTTTTACTTTCTAAATAATTTATTAATGAATTAAGTTGTCATTTGTCATTTCTTCCCCAAGTACCATTAAATAAATAAAATCAACCACTAAGCTTTTACATAGCATCCCCATGTCCATTTACAAACAAACATTACAATTGTCTAAAAACACTTCTTGAATATAATAATTTGGCTATTCACTGTTTTATTTTTCATATTATTTCTTCACTACAATACTATTTTTCTTCTTATTTTTTTCAAAAGTACACAATAGACGTTTAACAAAATAGTTATGAACAAAATAATTAGCCGCTTTGCAATAATTTGGTATCTGAATTTATACTTTTGTCGACCTCAAACTTCTCAACGATTGCAAGCAAAGCTGTGGAATATATAGAACTTCGTTCTTCTTCAGGTACAAATGAAGCGTGTTTCTATTGAAGGAATCTGCGGTGGTTCATATCGGGAAGTTCATTTGAGTGCTTAATGCCGTTGTAATTGCCGACTCAGAATTAAAACTCGAGTAAGCAAAGGCAAAAGGAAGCAACCAAAGTTCGCTGCGGACTTCTCTTTGCGATGGTTTATTAAAACGCGATCAATGGCCAAGATCTAAGAAAATTAAACTTTTCTCACTCTACAGACGAGATGCTGCTAGCGATTGAATGGTATATTTTAGTTTTCTACTTTATTACAGGAATCACGTTTTTGTTGCTTTGTAGAATAATGTAATGTTTATGCGCTTTCGCTAGAAAATAAATTAATAACATTGAACATCGGCATAATTGAGTTGATTCAAAAATATACCAAAATATTAAATTATCATCTGAGGTAATAAAAACACTGAATCACCATATTAGAAGAGTTCGTTTATTTCAGTTGTTTTCAGAAACGTTTCCTTCAAATACTTTTTAGTATTTTCTTTTTGCATTTCATATTATTCCCTATTTTTATTTAATAGTGTGACGTTACGTTCACTATTACTTATTTTATCCATGGTACTATGGTAGGTATATATAACTTAATTTAGGTAGCTCTAACTTAATTTTGTTTTTTCATCTTAACAAGAATGAGGGAAAAAAGTATTTCTTTCCAGTAAATTCTTTTCTGATAGTTATAACAGTGACGGGGGTGGGAATTCCGAACATGTTGGAAGTTGAATATTTTAATTAATTTTTAAGGTTAATTGTGGTTAGAATTTTTAAACTAGGTGACCAACCCTTTTATAATTTACCACAAGATCTCAGATTCCATAATGGCATTTTTGAGCATTTGATTGATGTTGTGTTTTAAACGATGTCGAAAATATGTTTCCTTAAAAACGTGACGAAAATATGTTTCCTTATAATTTAATTATTTTACAAATGGATATTTTCTTGCATCAAAATATGCCTTTTGTATTCCGAACGAAGTGTCAGAAAATGTTGTACTTTCTGATATATAGTTTATTTGATTCAATATTTAAAAAAAACTATAGTATTCAATTTTAAGTTATGTTTAGATCATTTAATCTGAATACGACAATATACGCGTGTATTTCGCATTTCTTACGGCGAAAGAAATGTAATACGACAAACGTTAAATATTTTATTAACGTGAAAAAAAATTATTATAGGGAATAGTTTGAACTGTTTTAATCTAAATTTCTTTCTTCATAAATAACTTGAAACAAGTGGCAGATACATTCTAAAATAGATTTCAAAAATATTTCATTTCATTTTTTGTATTTTTTATAAATATGAAGAAAGAAAAAAACAAATGAAATATTTCGATAATGTGGTGAATTCCAAGATGAGAGAATAAGAGGTCACATTTTAAGAGATAATGACAAAAATATCTTATCATATATTTTTACTAAAAATGGTAACATTTGTAAATAAATTTTGAATATGCATGTATTTTACATGACTCTCAAATACGTTTCTATCTCGCAAATTTTGTTGCCTTATGAAAAGTATAACACTATTTGTTGCAAGGCTTGGGTTGGAATCGCGGGGGCTTGCGCCGCACGGCGTGAGCGTCGCATGCGATCGGCACGCGCGCGTACTTGCGGGGCGTCGTCGGGCGATCTCCGACCCGCCATGACTTGTGCCGCTCGGGCGGGCGGGCGGGCGCGCGGAGGCCGCGCAGGCGGAGCGGCGGGAAGGGCGGGCCGACGCGGGCGGGGCGCCGCGCGGGTGGCCGCTGGGGCGAGGGAGAGACTGGGTAATTGATCCACGGCGTGCTAGCGACGCCGCGCACAACGCTCCGTGTCCGGAGCTCCTCTTCTCCCCGCACTCGCACCGCGCCGCTTGCCGCCAGCGTTGTCGCCCCGCCCTCCCCTGCCGCCCCCCCTCCCCGCCCCTCTCGCGCGGCGGCGTCCGGAGCCCCGGCGCATCGCGCTCCAGCCCGCGCGCCAGCCTCCACCGCCGCGCTCCCAGAGGTAGCAATACACGCGGCCGTAAAAAATGGCCTGTAAAATGCAAAGTAGGCCGCTCGCTGGGATGGTACCTGCGGTTCTCGGTAAGGCGCGGCGAGGCGTCGCGAGCGTCGCGGTGCGTTCGGCGGCCGCTCAAGCGCGCGCTCCTGGCACGGCGCGGTCCGCCCGCCCGCCCCCGCCCCGCTGCCTCTGGGAGCCGCGATTGAGCCGCTCTGGGGCGGGCCCTCTGCGCTCAACGCGTGGCAGCATGTTGGGGTTATTTCAGGTGCACCAGGAATGTTCAGGTTTGGGAACACAGTGGGAGGGAAATAGCTTTGAAATCAATTTGAGTGCTCCTCTTGGGCTTTTCGATACAGATGGCAAATTCAATCGAATATTCCAAATTTGCGTTTATTTCACGTCATCATATCGTCAATAAACGAAAAAAGTTAAAATATCACAGACGTGTTCTAGCTGAAAATGATAAAATTTTACTTATAATTAGCATGTCTAAACTTTCAATGTTACCTTAACATTGGACGTGATGTACTGAAAATATATCTTCCTGATATATTTATTCACGGTGATTCATAATAATTCAGTGAGAGATGTGCTCTGGAATGTATCGCTTTCCGGCACTGGCTATATTAAACCTTCCCTTTTATTTCCGTCGTATTGCGCCCACGAAAATCATCGGTGTGTGATAGCGAATACCTCCACCGGTCGAGAGTTTCGCTTCCTCTTCAGGCCGAAGCGGCTTACTGCCATCACCGCCAACACCTCCGCCCTACCGCAGCTACCAACACAGCCAGGCCACGACCTGCTCCATCACCACTGTCGCCATTACAACTCCATCGCCTCTACCGCCACCATCGCAGCATCAGCCCCTACCTCCATCTCCACGACTTTTCTCAGTGATAGGGGATGCTACTGCTACAACCACCTATTCAGACGTCGCTGCAACCAGCGTCGTCTGTTGAATGATTATTTGACATTCCGAGCGCGTCAACTGCTAAGGTCATTAGTCTCGTAAGTGTAGTGCATGTTTTTCCTCGGGAGGTTGTGGTGGTGGTGGTGGTGGTGGTGATTTTCCCCCGATGGGAGGCGAGATTCGGTGCCAACCTGCCGTCGGTTAGAGTGGTTTTCTCTAACCAGGTATCTCCCACCAGCAGGACACCGCCCCAGCCGGAGCAAGCTCTACGCTCTCAACAGGTCTCCCGGCATGAGAAGTAGCGTCGTGCATGTTAGTGTAAGTGTGTGTAAGAACGCGGTGAGGATAGGACAAGGAAGAAGAAGGAAAGATCGCGCACGGTCCATGGCACTTTTGTTAAGGTACTGCTCCGGCATTCGCGTAATGTTGATCAGAGACCACGGATAACCATCGATCAGAGCAGCTGGTCTCTAGAATTCTCCTCCAGACACCAACAGAATTCGACCTAGCTAGTGTCAAAAATACTGCCTCCCTCGGGACTCAAACTTAGGACCTTCAAGTCATAGGCAGTGCAGTGATATCAGTTGAAGCCCTGAGCCACCTCTCCCGGTACCAGCGTCCGCCACCTCCAGTCACCGCCATCGCCGCCGCCGCCGCCGCCGCCGCCGCCGCCACCACCGTTTGTGCCGGCATTCCGCGCTGCCGACAATCCGGAAGGGCGCGGGTGCCCCCGGGGGAGGCGGGCGGCCGCCGCTATAAAAGTGAAGCTTCGGTGAGCGTCGCGCGGTTTCCTCGGAAACGCTGGGCGCCAGTTTCTTTCCACTCTACTTGCCGGCCCCCCTTCTCTTCTGAGGAGGCCGGAAGCTCCTGCGTTTTCGTTACGATGCCCGCGTTGTGACGCTGGCGACGCCTTTTCGAGCGGAAGACGCGACTTCCCTCCCTTTACCTCGCTCGCCTGGCGCAAATACCGCTTCCCGTTTGTATCGCTGGGTGTACGTGGAGTGGAGAATAAAAGTAGCATATCTATTGAAGTGATTTTGAATACTTAAAGTCTATGTCTGCCGCTTTGACTATGCACGTAGAACTTTATTTTCTCTAGTTTTTTTCTCCACGATGACTTTCTTGCGCTCTGAATACTGATTTGATTTACCGACGCTACGGCGCAAATCCGCTCAGATACCATCCATAAATGTAATATATGCATCGTTATTGCACTCAAAGAAAAAAATTGATGTTCTATAATTTGCGCTTTTCTATCCACGCTCTTAACAATAAATATCAACGTGAAAAGCTGAGGAAATTTGCCAATACAAACACTCTCATTCGGCCTACGGACACACGATCAGCCGAGCCTCGTTAACGGACGTTAACCGTAGATTGCTCTGTTATTCCCGCCATCAACCGCCTTCATGGCTGGAGGGCGGCTCGTAACTCATGCGAAGGTCCATCGCAGCATGTGCTGCTCGCCGGGCTCTCCTCATCTGACCGAGTGTGACGCGCGATCTAAATAATTTTAGCCCGTGTTTACTCTAGCGAGTGACCGGGGCGGCGGCCGCCGGCGCAGAAATAGAGCGGCCGTCGATGACGGTCGATGCCGCCGGAGAGGCCTCTGCTGACCCGGCCGCGACGCGACGCGACACGACGCGACGCGACACGACGCGACTCGACACAATCCACGGCACGACGAGACACGACACACACCACATGATCCACGACACGACACACACCACACGATCCACGACACGACACACACCACACGATCCACGACACGACACACACCACACGATCCACGACACGACGTGACGACGTGACGTGACGTGACGACGTGATACCGTGACGACGTGATGACGTGATGACGTAACGACGTGATGACGTGACGACGTGACGACGTGACGACGTGACGACATGACGACATGACGACGTGACGACATGACGACATGACGACGTGACGACGCGACGCGACGTGACGCGACACCATACGACACCACACGACACGACACAACACGACCCAACGTAGATATGAATCCGTGAGAGGGCATGGGGGCAATATCCCACCTCCAAACGTTTTGCTAGTTTGATTTCATTTGTTTGATCGTGAATATTTATAGTTTCCGGGCGCGTCAACTGCTTGGGTCATTAGTACTGAAAGTGTGGTGTGTTGTTACGTCCTGGTATGTGGCAGTGTTTCTCCGCCGCTGGAACGTGAGATACCGTGCTGAACTACCCGTCGGTTTCCGGGTTTCCCTCTTCAGGTCCCTCCTCAGTGCGGAACTGATCTAGCCGGGACCAGCTCTAAGTCGTCGATAGGAGTGAGAGTGTAATGCATGATTGTGTGTGTGTGTTAGAAAGAGAAGAGAAGATATAAGGATGGAGAAGGAAAATGGTGAACGATCCGTGGTGCTCTCGTTAGAACACTCTGCTGGCATTCGCCTGGTACTGGTTGGAACAACCGCGAAAAACTACTCATCACAGAACAATAAAGGATAGAAGTGCTCCCTCAATGTTAAAAGGCGGAAACAAAAGTCGCTCGCAGCACTCCAAGTGGCCTGGCAGTGTGTTGCCAATTTCCCTATCTCACCTTCACACCTATGCTACTTATCACCGAAAGCGGCTGCTAGAATTGTCCTTCAGAGAGTGGTTGGAATCGACACTTTATTACTATCCAGAGTCGAAAATCAGGCCTGGAACCTTTGGACTTCCCGGTCAACAATCCTGCAGAGGAGCAAGAATGTTATCACTGAGCCATCACATCACGTTTAATTTATTCGAAACAATTGCATTACTATAATTATCGCATTTATGAACCCCTCTTCATTTATAATTTCTGGATCCGCCCTTACCGCGACGAGACCTGCGGGCGGCGGGGACTCTCGCGCAGATGGCGCGGAAGGGACGGCAACGCTGGCATTGGCGGCGACGTGGTATGTTATCTAAGTCTGGATGATACACGTTGGACTTTCCTTTGCCGCTTCATTTCCAAAATGACACTTCCAAAAATAACTAAATGTGTATAACATATCCGGGCTTCACTGAATTATTCTTATTCAGTTATGTTTCATAGAAATAAAAAGTCGGAAAACGTCTGCAGCATATTAGTTTTCTAGTCTCGCCTTGGCCCGTTGTCTGTCCCTTGTCACTCATGTATGTGTGGTTGCAGAGGGCCTAGCGTTCTGCTGACCTCAGATCAGAGGATCGCGCTAGTGTCCAGTCTAGTGTGTGTGGTCGAAGATGCCCCCCCCCTTTATGTAGCCGACAGCCTGTTATCCTTAAGGATAACTGGCAGTCTGCAGGATAAAACGCCCAAGTAAAAATAATAATTTCCTTCTACTTCCATGGCGCAACCGCAGTAATAGTTCTGCATTGACTTCTCTCCGACATTAGGTGGAGATTTTCGTCGGTGAGTGGGAGATGGGTCATTCGAGGCTACCTGATCTGCCCACTGCTCGAATGGGGAATGGGAACGAGGTAGCTCCGGCATTCGCCTGGAAGCAATCAGGGAAATCAGGGAGACCGCTGATCAGAGCAGCCGGCCTACGACTTCGACCCCGGCAGCCGCCACAAACTCGCCGATGCTAAACGCATCACGCAAATTTCCGGCACCCGGCGGGGATCGAACCGGCAGACCACCGGTGATCGCCAATATGCTCGGACGCTAAGGCACTGCATTAAAGCGCATCGTTACCAGTGTGTGTATAACAGTTTTATTTCACTTATTTATTTATTCACTTGCCTTTTTGAAATGTGTGAATCGTAAAAAAAATTAAAACAATATTTTTTTTTAAATGAAACTTTTTTTAAAATATTGTCGAATAAGCATTAAATACATAATGTAGAAAAATTGCTAAAAAAAATTGGGGCTCTTAAGCCTTACCGTGCTCCATCACAAGGAATTTACTCACAACTGCGGGAACAACAATGAGAACTACAAAGCAATTTTCGAACAAAGTAGCTTCTTATAACCTTTCACATTTAGGATCCTGTTGAGACTTCCCTATGCGTGTCCAAAGAGCGACGAACATAGCCTTTAAAATTAACATGTAATAAACATGTTTCTGTCCATCGCATAATTTCCGATGGACATTACGAAAAGTACTTTGAGACTCATAAATGTGGTAGGAAAAAAACAGAAAAGAAAATCGCAGCATTTAATGAACAATTTGTCTTATGTTATTGAAAAGTCGTTATATATTTCGGAATTGTTCTACAATAGTTTGAAAAGAATTCTATTGGCATTTCTTGGGGTGTATATGTCACTTCAGTTGCACACAATTAAACTAAGAATATTCAATATATAGAATTTCCTCATTGTTCCCGTTTGTGGTTATCCTCTTTGTACTACGATTACACAACATAAGGAGTCGATTCGTGCGATTA